TTTTATACTATTCATTAGAGTTAAAGTGGTATACCCAAAAAAAATCCTAATAACCCTATTAGGCCAAAAAAATAAGTGGGCGTAAAAGTATTTGAATTTTTTCTTATGAGAGGGAATCCAAAATCCTACAGATATTTATCTTTTTAGAATTAACATATTTAAGAATTCTTTGGCTGTCTTCATGTCAGACTTTCTTGGTGCTTGCATACATATGCCAATTTCTCAAATAGAGAAAGCAACTTCTGGCCTTGTTATAGCCAAATGAAGAAGTTCTCACAAGATAATATATCTATAGACATCTCTATAAATCTCCCAAAAATAAGATAGCAGTTTTGACATAGTTGCATAAAATCTAGCATTTATAGGTTATCAAGACCAATTTGTCTACTACCAAAAAAGTCCTGTAGCGATAAAGACTTGCTTTGGTTGTGTCAACCAACAATTATCAATGTCCTCTTTTCATCCGTTGGCTGCTAAGCTTTTACACCTATTTTGCTTGATGACAAGCAAGATGAAGTTGCTCACACAACATGGTAGGTAGAATTGTAAATTGATCAGAAAAGTATTTTTAATATACTTTTTTTGACAAGAAAAAGAAAGGTAGAATAGAGACAAATCAATAAATCCAAAAAAAGAATAATAAAATAATTGCAAAAAAAATATTATTTTAATTTCTTAAAAAGGAAATAATAGAACACCTTTCTTTTTCTTGAATCCATATAAAAGTTGAAGCTTAAAAAATTCAAAACACATGCAGTTGACAAAAAGGTCCCAGGGATGGACGCCATGACAGTTACCTACCCCGACCTTGAATGAGCCGCCACGACACATTTCATTACGGTGTTGTGGTGGATAATTTTATTTTATATTAATCACATTTTAATACATAAAACAGTTTATTCTAATAATATTTTATGTTAAATTAATATAATTATTTTTTTACAAATTTTAAATAAACTATAGTTTCTGAATTAGCAAATGGATAGAAGACAGAATCCTTTATTATCAAAGTTAGACCAAATAATCATGTTATCTGCAAGTTGATTGATATGTTCATAAGTTTCTGAACACCGAACATCAAATTAGTGAGAAAAATATGTAAAAATTTTCAATTTAGTAATGCATAAAAACAGTTCATAGGATTGCTCGTACCTAATTTATTCTTTCTTAATGAAAAAAATAAAGAGGAGACATTTGATAATGAATAATATGCGATATTATTAAAAGAGAAAATATTCTACATTTTATATGAAATTATGACTTTTAGTCATTTGTGAGGATATATGACTTTTAGTCATTTTTAGGCAGCACTAACACTACTAAATAAGTATCTTGGTGCGCGTTAGACATATCTCCCAATGTATTAATTAAAGTTTAATTGGGACTAGCTCTCCCATTTATGTTGAGGGCTGGAAGTTTTGAAGTTGGCTGCTTGTCACAAAGACATTAAAGAGTTGGATCTTTAAATGTTAAAAAACTTCTTGTATTCTTAAACAGTATTTGCCACTTATATATTCAATATCCATAGAGGAAGTAACTTATGGGTTGATCATCATTTGCCAATCAAGTCTATTATACGACAATAAACTTTTTTATATTTTGTCATGATTTGGAAAACCAGAACCAAAAAGAAAATTAAAATATCAAAATAATTAGAGATTCCGATTTTTTTTTCTCTAATTAAAATACAATGATACTCATTATTATTATCATAGTAACAATACAAAATAAAAACAATATATTTATAACAAAAATTAAATATTTTTTCTAGTTATTTTTAGAGTAGAACAACTTTTAAACTTATGTTTATACTGCTTAGTCACCCTGGAGATGCAGCTAGCTTTTTTCTTCTTTTTTTTTTTTTTTGTCCTTGCTTTTTCGTTTTGTATCCAAAAAAAAAAAATTTACTTTTAAAATTTGAAGAATTTATATATTTATAGATACAAGCATGTATTTATGTAATATTGAAAAGTACATCTTAAAATCATTTTAAATATTGGTCATGGGGGTTCAGATCAGATCCATGAGCGGATCGAGAATCTGTATTTGGACTTGTATTGGAATGTATAATATATATATATTTAAGATGGGAAATTGCACATGATTTTTTTATGCTGTCAAATTTATTTTTTACGCCAATCGATTTCAGGGGGCAAGAGAAATATTTATTTATTAGTGGGTAACAAAAATAAAATATTATCTTCTGGTGACCCGCAACGCAAAGTGTCTCTACGTGAAACGGCACAAGCCTTTTAATAATACTGCTTTCCTATTTGTTCATTTGAAAAAAACACTAAAGTTCCAATTTCATTTCTTCCAGTCAAAATATAGAGGAAAAGACGGAACGCGGCTTAACTTGTTAATTCATGATGTAAGTCAAACCCACAAAACCTCTAGGGGCGATGCTTCCGGCGGAAAAGACTTCATCAAAAGTTCTTTGGTTGACGGGAAAAGTCCAAGCTTAAGTCACCATCTAGCATCTTCGTCCCATTTAATGTTGTAGATTTTTCATTGAAAAAAAAGTCTGCTGCTGACTTTGTCATGAATGATATATAGAGGAAGAATTAGCCAGTTTCGTTCTGTATAACGTTCTTCCTTAATGGAATTTCTTTGCGTTTTCTCATGGGTTCTTTCCTTGCTGTTGATCTTCTCTTCATCTTCATCCGCAGAGCAATATGTTCTGCGAGACGGTTCATCTCTGTCCGTCGAGAAACCAACTGATGTGTTATTATCACCAAACGGTGTTTTCTCTGCTGGGTTTTTTCGTGTTGGAGTTCGTGCTTTCTGCTTCGCGGTATGGATTACCAAATCCAAGGATCCCACGGTGGTGTGGATGGCAAACCGGGACGAACCCGTTAATGGAATAGGCTCCAAGCTTTCGCTGCAGAAAAACGGAAATCTCATTTTGACAGATGGAGTTCGAAGAACCCAATGGGAAACGAAGACTGCTTCGTCTTCTTCGGTTGAGTTAATTCTCCTCAACGATGGCAACCTTGTTCTTGTTACTGCAAACTCAGAGAAAGAAAAGTTGTGGCAAAGCTTCGACTCACCAACGGACACGCTTCTTCCTGAGCAGGTTTTGACGAAGGACACATTCCTTACATCGTCAAGAAGCATAAGCAACTTCTCTTCTGGTAACTACAGGCTTTATTTTGATAACGATAATGTGCTGAGACTTCTTTATAATGTTCCTGATACGACGAGTGTTTATTGGCCAAACCCTGCCATAATGCCATGGCAATCTGGAAGATCTACGTACAACAACAGCAGACTTGCAGTGCTCAACCTACTTGGCAACTTTGCAGCATCTGATAATTTCAATTGCAATTCTTCAGATTATGGTGGCAAGATTCTAAGACGACTGACTCTTGATCCTGATGGGAATCTTCGAATTTACAGTCTTGTCAGCGAAAGTCGAACTTGGGTTGTTTCATGGCAGGCGATTTCTCAGCCATGCACGATTCATGGAATTTGTGGAGATAATAGTGTTTGCGGTTATGATCATGTTAGAGGAAGAAGATGTTCTTGCTTGCCTGGATACAGGGCAAGGAGTACCACTAATTGGATTCAGGGGTGTGAGCCGGAATTTGAATTTAGCTGTAATAGTAGCAAGTTTGATTTCAAAAGTCTCCCTCATGTTCAACCTTTTGGATTCGACAGAGATGGTTTCCCCTCTGCAAGTTTAGAAGCTTGTAAAGAGAGATGCTTGAGTATGTGTAGTTGCAGAGGTTTCGTATTTGATTACGATATGACCAACAACAATGGGTATTTATGTTACCCCAAGATCCGACTGTTCAATGGGTTTATTACGCCGAGTTTCTCCGGAAACTTGTACCTAAAATTGCCAAAGGCCAATATGAACTCTGTCAAAAAGATAAGCACAGAATCACGGTTAGAATGTTCAAGAGACTTTGCTGTGCAGCTAAACAGAACATACGAAAAGGCTCGTGGAGCTTGGTCTCTCAACTTTCTGCTATGGTTTGCTGTTTCAGTGGCAATCTTTGAGATGACTTGTATATTTCTGGTGTGGTGTGTTTTGTTCAGAACTGAGAAAGACTCCGACTCTGAAGCAGCTAAACAAGGTTATATTCAAGCTGCAACTGGGTTCAAAAAATTTACTTATGCTCAACTGAAGAAGGCAACCGGGAGTTTTACTGAAGAAATCGGAAGAGGAGGAGGTGGGGTGGTATACAGAGGAGTATTGCCCGATAATCGGATTGCAGCGATCAAGAAGCTCAACGAAGCTAATCAAGGAGAAGGAGAATTCCTGGCAGAAGTGGGCACCATTGGCAGACTAAACCACATGAATTTGATAGAAATGTGGGGATACTGTGCAGAAGGAAAGCACAGGCTTTTGATTTATGAGTTCATGGAGCATGGATCTTTAGCAGACAACCTATCTTCTAATTCACTCAACTGGGAGAAGAGGTTTGATATTGCGGTGGGAACAGCTAGAGGATTGGCTTATTTACATGAAGAATGCCTAGAATGGATTCTCCACTGTGATATAAAGCCTCAAAACATCTTGTTGGACTCTGATTACCAGCCGAAGGTAGCAGATTTTGGCTTATCTAAGCTTCTGAACAGGGGTGGCGGTGACATGAATGGCTCAAGCTTCTCGAGAATAAGAGGAACTAGGGGTTATATGGCTCCTGAATGGGTTTACAACCTTCCACTCAACTCCAAAGTGGATGTATATAGCTACGGAATTGTTGTGTTGGAGATGGTAACTGGTAAGAGTCCCATAGGCATTCATTCTCTTGATGGGGGAATGGCGACAGAGCATGGGAGACTGGTCCCTTGGGTGAGGGAGAAGGTGAATGGAGGTGCTACGAGAGAATCCTGGATTGCTGAACTAATGGATCCATTAATGGCCAATGAATATAATGTTGATAAGGTGGAATGTCTGGTTAGAGTAGCACTGAAATGTGTGGAAGACGACAAAGATTCAAGACCCACCATGAGTCAAGTGGTAGAGATGCTTTTGCAGAATGAGGGGAAGCTTTCCAAGATCCACTCGATGCTGTAGCCTTTAGGTAAGTCATAGTTTCAGAACCTTTTATTTTTAAATTACCAGGTTTAGTTGTCATGTTTGTTGTCGAATTATTTCTACTAATTCGATACTGTTTGCTAAATTCATTGATAAATAAGGCTTATGTTGGGCAAAAACTAAGCTGTATTTGTAACTTATAAGCCTTTGCTTATGTAATATTCATAATCATGAATTAGATGCTAAAGCTTCTGATTGCTGAGTACACTTTATTTTGTTGAATACCATCGGCTCTCAGATTGTTGGAGCATTCCCCTCGAAATTACCTCACCTTAGTAGCATCTTCTCCTTCTTCTTCTTCTTCTTCTCCTCTAAAATGCAATTATTGCATCCAACCATCCAACTAAATCGATGCACCAAATTATTGCTTTCTAATATCAAATCAAATTCAACTTTTTCTTTCTTGCATACATGCATAGTTGGGACATATCATGTCACTCCCATAATACCATACAAGGCAAGCTACTTTGAAACAGGCATACCCTTAAACTGCTAACTGCTAATAGATTCTTCATATACAGATTTACCTAACAGTTCCTATTGACAAGTAGTAGGGAACAGAGAGGAACAAGGTTGAAAACAGGCCATATCAAATTGGGGAGTAAAACCTCAACAGCAGCCATGTTATGTTGTACTTAGAAATAGTTCAATCATCTTGCTTGTTCCTGCTTGTAACATGCTATGCTGTTAGGTATGTGGTCAGGAAAAATGCATTCTGATTCTTCTGGAGGAACCTGCATGACATGATCCTTACAGCATCAACCAAAGAGTGATGGATGGTGAGATTAAGGACAATCAGGTTTTAGAAACAGAAAACTTAATAAATAAAAATAACACTAATAATATTGATTTCAAGGATCGTCGTTATATTATGCAAGTATTATATGGACATCGGTTTGATCTTGATTATAATTTTCTGTAGACGTTTACTTTATACATATATGTAACTACCAAGCCCCAGAAAAATGAAAATTAGACAAATAAGATAGAAATCAGACAACAAACTTTTTCAAGCAGAAAAATACAATAAAAAGGATGGAAAGAGTTCACACTTGAGAAAATCAACTAATTTTAGCTGTAACTCAATCATCGTCTCCTCCTCAATGCTTATGAGGGACAACAACTCAGGCAATTTAACTGCAAATGCAAGAAATGGTTAGTAAAAGATACAAAATAACCTGTGTAGCTTGAATGCGTAGAATTGGAAAAAGAGAATTCCCAGCAACAACATCAATAAACAATTCAGCATACACGTTCATTAATCACATTCTCCCATCCAAAAAAGTAATATTATTCTTGTACATAGTGCCCCTATAATAATGAAGATTTAAGAGAAATAAGCATTGACGTTATAAGTTCTCCATTTATCGTTATAAGTTCTTCTCCATTTGGTAAATAATGAATAGTACAAGCCTTTTACATACTGTTATAGGTTCTTTTACAGATTGCCTCTGTCATGAATAGAAAATAATGGAAAGTAAAAACATTTTTCATAACACTATAATATTATAGGTCAATATAATCCTCATTAAGGTCACATATCACTATCACACTAAAATATAAAGACTCACAAGGTATAAGATTGTACCAGGTCGGTGTCACCAAGTTATCACATACTGTGATATCAGTTCTATAAGATTGCACCAGGTCAGTGTCGCCAAGTTATCACATACTGTGATATCAGTTCTAACGCCTCAGATCCAAGAGTAATTGCCCTAAATAATTTCAAATCTAAACCATTATATTTGAAAAACTCAAGTTATTAGTAGTATATGAGTTGAGCTCTTATATACAACTCATAAATCACACGTATCTTTTTAATGTGATATTAGGATATTCTAAATCTATCATAAGCATTTTCCATAACATTGTAGGCATAATCCATCATCATAAACATGACTTATATATAAATATATATATATATATATATATAAAAGGTTTCAGTAGAATTTCATTCATGAATATATAGTGTAAATGACGAATCATATTTTCCAACAGGTATCGGTTGCACGAGAACATAAAAAATAAAAAAATAATGTAAACATAAGGAGCATCACAGCAGCATATTAAAAAGGGCTAAGGATTAGAAGATATATATACCAAAGAGGCGTAATAGATGCTCGGCACCATATACAGTTGCAGGGGAGACATCATCTGCAATCATCTCTTCATATTGCTGATGCTCAGTTTTGTACAGAAGCAACACGGGTAATGCTTTGTTGAAGTAACAGCGCAAACCTTTCAGAATTTCCCTAACTGAATCAGCTACCCTGCACCATGAGTATAAAATTAAGAATCACCATCGTAGCAAGTTGCGAGAATGGAAAGCCATTAATTATTTCTACAACATGACAAAAACCAATGCAAAATAGAAACCTAAACATATAGAACCAATCAATGCCAAGTACTGTAATAAAGTTTACACCATATTCCCTCTCCCATTCCTCCATCCCCTTTTTGGAGGAACAATCTCCTCTCTTCTTATTATGACTGATTCATCAAAAACCATATGAAAAAATGTTGAAGGGATTTATCTAAAAGTAGCAAAAATCAAAAGTTAGATGGTAAAAGTACCTAAGCATGATACTTCATCTACAGTGATATGATCCATGAAGATGGAGCTTATAAAAATCAAAGTCAGACAACTTGTTCACCAGAGACTATTTTCTGCAAATGTTTTACTGCCGAACGAGAACCTAAACTAAGAAGAAAATAATAATAAAAAGGCATGACCAGAACTTACATGCCATCCTTTTTTGACCTATACTCTAGATACTTCTTCAGTATGCCATCCACATTTGGAGAACGAGGAAGTTTAACAAGCTGGAAATAGAGGCCATAAATCAAATCACTAAAATCAGCTCTGGCTAGCATGAGACAAATGAACAATAAACAAAAACTATAACAATGATAACAAGGGTTCATGGTTCATTCAATGTTCAAGCCAAATAATTAGACATACAAAAACTAAAGCCTGACCTTTTCATACATCCCCCACAGTTGAACTTGTGCAAAGATGTTGCCTCTAACACTGTTCTAAGTTAATCACCCTAATTTGACCATGCAATTCTCTCCTCAATCCCCAATCCCTTGTACTAATTTCCTTTTATAAACAAAATTAAAAAGGAAAACCTTGAGATCAATCGTTTCACTCAGTTTTTAACTCATAAATACAGCAATGCTATCTTTCAGGTTCATTATAACAATGGAAAAGGGGAAGGCTCAAGAATAAAAAGTAGAACGAGTTTAAATACTGCAGGAAGTATTTAAGATAAAAGCAGGACTACCTTGCCCAGTTGAGTAATAAATTCACAATCGTCAACTAGTTGCTTCTTCAGAATCAATGGCAATTGGAGGTTTACAAACTTCTCCGAGCATATGGCACCCTTTTCCTACAGTTTACAAACAACAGACATGGTAAGCAGACACAAAATTACCAACGTAAGAATGTCAGATGTGAAAAAGAAAAATGAAGTAATTGTAACAGCAGCATTGGCTGATGGCTTTCAGCCAAATGGAATATAAGGAAAAACTGAGATATATATACAGGTATAATAAAAATGCTTTTTGAATTGAAAAAACATGCCTCACCTTACAGAGAGAATCATTCTTACGTTTTCTACCCCTTGCAGCTAATAAGACCAGAAGAAAAAAAAAAGTAAACATCAGTTTTTTTTCATTCTTATACCAAAACTACAATAGAATGTCCATATAATTGCAATAAGCAACAGAAATTCCTATTTTAGATAGAATAATAAGAATAAACTTAATAAAGAATCTCCTGAATACCAATACTAGGAATTATGACATTGTTAGTAAGGGTTTTGGTTTTTAACACATTTCTATATTTCCTTAATATGTTTGCAAGATGAAGGAATGTATTGTTTTAATTTCTGAGTATATCCTCTCAAAATATTTATCAGACAGAGCTAACATAACATAGGCTCATATATCCAATTTGCAAGTGAAACAATAACAAACTGAAAATCTTCTTAAGCTTCTGACTCATTCTCAGGCCTATGCACAAAAGGTGGAGAAAATAACTAGATTAAGCAGTCAATACTGAATCAACTTGCAGTAATATCATCTGATTTCTATTTCAGTAAGCAAATGCTTCTTTTCTTTCCTACAGAAGTCTTTGAATTCCTCTCAAAGGGGAATTGGATTTTAAATGTCATCATGCACCACTTAATTTTCTTCTCCATTATCCAGTTCAATCATCATAAATCAATATCATTATGGGGATATAAAGAACAAGACACATAAAAGAAATGGCATTGCAAACATAACAAGTGCTTCATAAAATCAGTCTGCAACTAAATTAATCAAATATGTAATTAGAAGCTGGCTTTCGTCTTCCAATTTTTCGAATGGCAATCTCAATTAACTCTCACTAGGATGACTGACAATCACCATATGTCTTAGGTTACAGAGTCCAGAATATGAGTGTTTACCTTACTTTCTTTATAACAGAAAATTTTACATTTCACACTGAATGAGACAACTCTTATGTACTAGCAGAGAAATTCTTAAAGTTATAACCACTGCCATGTCTATTTGCATTAACCACAATCCAGGAATGCAAGTAAATTACACTATGCATGCTTACACCAGAGTTGAAACTTCAGAGTTCCAACTTCTTAGGAGGGTATATTATCGAGCTCATCATGTAGTAGCCATTTCTCCATAGGCTTCAATTTCAAGTTTATATGGCAGAATTATCATTTTTTTATTTAATATGGGCATCTAAAGGAACAAAGTCAACTAAGCAAGTAAATCGTAAAACTAACCATTCGAGCTTTTTGGTCTAATGTGCACTGCACGCCCTCGATTCAAGTTCTTGTCTGCATCCTGTTTTGCATTAATAGCTTTTTGTTTCTGAACATTCTCATCATTATGTTTCATCAACCGATCTATAGCCACCCACTCATCCCAGCTGTTGAAGAAACAAAAGTTTTAAGACATTAAACCATACTTAAGTTCCTTCCATCCTATTGAATTTTTCAACATTGGTTTCCCATTCCAAAAGTATTCTGTTAAATTTACAGATACAGAATTGGAAAAAAACATATAATCTGGACTAGCCTGAGAAGCATTTCAGAAACAAAAGAACCTGGCAAGCAACAAAATCTCATGGAAATAATGATCATTAACATCTCGTGCTTAAAAGAAATCTCATGGAAATAATAATCATTAACATCTCGTGCTTAAAAAAAAGTTAAAAATTAGAGAAAGGTTATATACATATATAAATAGCTCACTAAGACTTCATTGAACTGGTTCACTAATAATACAGAATAATCAAAAACTTTCTGTAACACCAGTTGTGGAAATGAGAAGTTGTGCTCACTTTTTGTTCCACCCCTGCAAAACAGAAGAGATTATAGCATCAAGGTAATGCAATAGGAATGCTCCATCCTAGCAGAAACCCACTGAAGTCAAAGATAAACAAACACGACAAGGTATAAGTCATTAAGGAATAGCAATCATATATGACAATGTATAGACATCCGTCTAGAAAATCCTAAAAATAAAAAATTAACAAGATATATTGTCCGTACTCACAAGGTAATGAACTAAAAACCTGCACTCCTTCTTGCGATATTCAACTTGCATTACCTTGCAAATAGAACATATAGTACATCAGGTAACTGAATAAAAATGGAGATCACATGCAGACCAAAAGAATTATGAAACGCGGCACGACTAAGAAATTACAGTACTGGGAACAACCGACCATTACAAAATAAACAAAAAATGAAACTCTAGCTTCTCAGGACGAGAAAAAAGTGAAGGGGTTCGACTGTGGATAGTTACACAAGCAGTCAAGATTCCTCATTAACATCAAAAGAACCGAAAATCAATCTGATTAATCCAAAATCTATGAAATAACACATTTCTTGACTTCTTTTTGGTTACTAGAGTGATTCGATTTCTTGATTTTTTCTTCTTTTGAACTTGAATTCCATTTATTTCTGAGAAAATCTACGAAGAACCTACGAACACATAGACAAAATAAAAGGTAAAAGAAAACCTTGGCGTTGTAAATTCGTTTATTATGAGAAACGAGGACCCTTTCGCCTTCAATGTAGGGACTCGAATCAAGAGAAGGAGCAAGGTCCTCGTCAGTCTCGCTTTCGGACTCGGAGTTGGTCATGGTGGTGGAACGTTCCGTTTCGGTAATAGAATCGCCATTGGCTCTTCTCATTTGTGAAGTGTGACCGGGAGGACCTGGGCGTTTTTTGGCGGTTCCGAACCGTTAATGAAGAGGCACAAATTACGGTGAGAAACTAAAATTCAGGGGGAATTTTTCTAGGGTTTTAATATAATCCTAAAGGTTTATAAACACGTAGCACGAAGATGTCACGCGAGAGTCGACGCCTCGGTTCGTGTTCCTTCAGGTCTTCAGCCAATAGGAAGTAAACACGTGTAAAGAACAGACTGAGGTCACGTGACCAATAGATTTGGGCTCCGTGGTAAGATCTCTATAATTACATGGGCTAAGGTGGCCGAAATGTCAATTGGGCTGACGGCCAATCCCGGTCTAAAAAAGAATGGTTTGGAAATGTGGGCTGTCAATTTTGGTCCAAGAATTTAGCTATTTTTTAAGGAAGAATTATTTGGAGCAAAAATAATAACTCAAATATTTTACTGAAAAGAAAAAAAAAAGAAAAAAAAAAAAAAAAAAAAAAAAAGAGAGAAAAGAAATCCTTAATTTTTAGGGTCGTACCTAAATAACAAAAATAATTTAGTGGGTCGAAAATTTTATTTCATTATATTGATCAACTTCAAATGAGTCTCAATAAACATATTATATTTATGTGAAAAAAGTATATAAAATTAGAAATAATCTCTTATTTTATTTTTTAAAATATATATATATATATATATTGGTTATAGCAATGATGGGGCTATGTTTTGGCTGCTTGCATAGCGTTTATGCAGGTGTGCACATGCAAATGCTGAAAGAGATAACATATTTTCTCACCAACAATTGCCCTCTCAACTGTGGAGTAAGTTAATTACTTCCACCTTTCTCTTTCCTTGGTTATTAAGACAGAGACACGTTACTTATTTCCAAACTACTAATTTATTTGTTCATAGTAATTACGGTCCATTAATATATAAAAGCACATTATAGTCAATGAAGTTTGTATTCTTTATTTTTCTATTTTTATTGGAATATCATGTTATTTAGTTAATAAACAAAACTAAAGTTCTCAAACACAAAAATGAAAATGAAATGAAGCCCACTTGGCCCAACCCCGCACATGTCAAGCCAACTTTTTTTTGTGAAGAGAGAACATATTTAGTTGTGTTCTGTTACGTAAGCAAGAGATAATAAGATTCCCAACTTAATTAATATTTATATATTTTTAATTAATTAATATATAAATTTATTAAAAATGACTTTTTCATCTTAAATTCCCAAATCATGTTTTTACTCACATTTTGATAGAGTTGCGGATGACAAACTCAACTTTCAACAATAATTATGCCCCAAACTCTTACGCAAACCAACTTTTCCTCCTCTGTAATTGCAACCAAATCTTTTAATTAATCCATGGCCCCCCCCCATTGAAAAATCTACCCAATAACATACAAAATGGTAGGGTTTGCATCCGTGATTTCTCATTTTACTTTTTTTAATTTCAGTTAGTGGATGATCTCTTAAAAAACCAGAGAGTATTGTTGTTCAGATCCAGATAGGTAATAAATTGATTCCACTTTGCGAAAACTGCCAAGTACAAGGCATGAAGATTGAAATATAAGAATAACCAAACACCATATCCTTACAAAAGCTGAAACCCAGATCCCTGTTTTGGCTAATGTCCAACCATTTTCACAAATAAACAAGATTGGCTACGCATATGACAGTAACACTACTCTTCTCTCTCACATGCTACTCCGGCATTTTATACATATACGAAACCCTAGACATCATCTCTCTGTCTCTGCCCACGGAAAATGACCAGAAAGCGTGGGGTTAGTACCGGGCATTAATTATAATCTACACCCTTTTCCCATTGTCCATTTGCGTTAAATCTGCAAATTGCATTCCCCACCTACCCAATCACTCCCCCGTTAACCATTCTACCTTTTCTGCAAACCCATTAATCAGAAACAAATTTCTCCAATACCCAATTGAAAAATAAAATAAGATTTGTTAAATTCTTATAGTCTTGATTTTATCACATAATTATGAACAAATTTAGCAAACAGAGGAACCCTTTTACAATACAAGGATTTATAGATCCAATTAGCAAAACCTAGATTAGATATCTGAGAGAGAAGGGGAGAAAAAAAAAAAAGAAAAAAAAAGGAAAAAGAAACCAGATGAGGGGACACGAAGGGAAGATCAAAAAACCCAAAGCCAAATCTAGACAAACAATAAACCCATAAAATATAGATGGCTAAACCCCAGAAAATATATATTTATGTATAATTCATGCAGTTATCTGCCTCTGTTACTGAAATTCATCTTCTCGTAGTACCGAATAGAAAGCAGAGATAGTGAGAGGTTAACCTCGTCCTTCCCCCACCGAGGCGGCGGCTTGGAGCTGATCATCGGCGGGAACGGAGCCCAAGACGAGGATGAGGAAGAAGTTGACGAGGAACCCGATGAAGAGGACTGAGGCTTCGACAGCGGCCACACGTAGAGTGAGTGGAGTCGGCGGAAGCCACCGAGCGCGAGGACCACGGATCTCAGCTGCTGGTTGCCGCAGCCGATGTTAGCCCAGTGCCTGGTGCAGATCAATTCCCAGAGCCGTTCGTCCTGCGCCGTCCTGTGCCAGAGCTTGCTCACACAAGCCGCCATAGCCAGCGTCTTGGCATCCACGTGCTTCAACACCTCAAACAACAAATTCTCATCCAAATTCACAAACCCAGTTCCTAAAAACTCCCCATCATCCTCTACCTTTAGTTTCTTCATTTTTTTGTCTTCTTCGCCGAGCGATGCATCAGAAACCGCACGCTTCATAGCCAAAGATTAATCTCCCTCCCCCTAAACCTCGAAAGAAACCCAGAATTCTAATATCGTTACGAGGCAAATTCGAGACGAGGGGAGTGATTATGGAGAGAAGAATGGGAAATTGCGTTTGGTCGGAAGGGGAGAAGAGGAAATAAACAAGGGTTAAGAGGAGGTTAGGGATGGTGGGGTGTACATGGGGTAATGAAAACTGGGTGTGGGTAGTTCTTTGAAGATTATCGAAGACGACAAGATGTGAAATGAATGCGGTTCGATTCTTTTTTCTGGATGATAAATTGACGAGTTTGGCCTGGGTGCTGTTCTGATCACTCTGGTTAAATATTAAAATATATATTAATGTATTTGTTTCTTTGTTTGCCATTACGGTGTGTTTGTTTGTTTTGTTTTGTTTTTCCGCAAGTCAAAAGACACTCTGCCTTATCCTGGTGTTTTTCTTTTGGCTTTTTACCTGTTTTCAGAATTCTAAAATCTTGTTTGGTTACTGGGATAATCCTATCCTACCTATAAACCCTGATTGGAACATGTACTCAATACTTTTTTCTTTTTCTTTTTCTTTTTCTTTAAGGAACAAAATTAGAGGAAATTGTCAATATTACGTTGTCTTCCTCTTTAAAAAATTTATATTTGACAAAATAAAAACGTGATTAATTCACTATAATCTTTTTGCTCTATATTTTTTTATTAAAAATTTAAAATAAACCACTCAACAAATATTGAGCTATTTAACTTTATTACATTTTTAAACAATTTAGTGCTGGAGCGATGTATACCATAATTACATAACATATATTATATATATCTTGAATTAATTTACATCTTATTATAAAAAATATATATATTTTTCAACAATTTCATGCCAACTAAATTGTATTGCTGTTCCGTATCAAAACTTTCATATCATTTACACGTGGCAAAATCCCAATTGACAACTAAGTCTAAAGTCTAAACCTATGAGACTCCCCCGTGGCTCTTGCAAATCGTGTTGGTAATCGCCAAATTGTTTTTAAATTTCAATTTTAGTACGTTGACAAGATTCTTTTATGAACAAATATCTTTATTTCAATTTCAGTATGTTAATAGAATTCTCTTATGAGTAATTTTAATTTTATTACCGACAAAATATTGAATTTAAATAATCAAATTAAATAGCATATTTCTTACCAAATTGACTAACCCTTGTTAGTAGTATAATATAAGATTTTGAATTATAATTTTTTAAAAAATAAAAAAACTTGCCAAACAAAAAGTTATACTTTATCACGAACAAAGTTAAAGAATATATCATCTTACCGAGGAAAGAAAATTAAGATGCATGCATTATCCTATGATTCGTGAGCTACCCCGTACGTAATAAGCCCAATATTAAGTATAATTTACAAAAAAAAAAAAAGAGTATAATCTTGGTACCTTTAAATATTCACGAGGCTCCAAAAAAATAATAATAATAATTGAATAAAGTGTTGATGTAAGATGTAGAAAATTGAACTCGTTATGTGTTAACAAGGAACATTATAGTATTTTTTTTTTTTTTACAATATAGTATTTGTATTATGTTGTGACATAATTAAACATTGTGTCTATCTTAATTAATCACTGCATTTTGCAGTAGTTACATTTATAATAAATTTAAATGGTTGTTTATCTTTTTCAGTAACTCAATTATATAGTGAAATTGTATCTTTTTTATATATATAATAAATACATTATATTAATTTTTGTAAATTACGAATTAATATCAAATTATCACTTTGTTGAGTTTAGATAATTATTACATCTCTTAATTTTTATCTTAAGTATCTAAGATATATCCTTCTTCAATAATTTAACTTAGTCTCTTGTATGAGTTAAAATTTTATGTTATAAGCACTTACTATTTTAAATTAATAATTATAACTTATCTAAAACTATTATTATTGGGACTATGTCATTTTAATTATAATAAATTAGAGTTATTTACCTTCTTCTTATTTTTTGTTGGGAAGTTGTGGTGATTATGTTTTGGTGGATTCAATCTAATTGAATGTATAAGAGTACATCGACTTATTTGATTCGTTATGCATGTGAAGAATGCGTGAAAATAATTAATCATCCTTTTAGGTACATGTATTATGATATCAGAATTTGAAAAAAATTTCATTGAATATATGTTCAAATATTTTATATGGGAACGTGTTCCATTTTTTGACTAGGTAATTTTTTTTTTTTAATTTAGTAATAGTTACGAAAGAGATTTAAGTATTGATATTATTGTGATAAATTTAGTAAATATATAATTGTTCAATTACTATATGAATTTATGCACATATTTATTTTAATTTGATTGAGAATAAATGTTTAATTTCTTGAGTTTTAAGGCATCCAAAAATATTATAATAAAACTAAATATTGAAATAACTTTCAGTGACTCAAGTTATATCATATTCATTATCTTGAGTCAAGCCTTTTAAATAACAGTAATTATCTTTCATTATGTATTTAAAATTTGATTGAATTTTAATTAAAAAGATTGTATGCATGAAATTTTAAAATATTTTATTTTTATAAAAATAAAAGTCACCATAAATAATTGTTTTATTTTCTTTAATAAAACAGAGAAATTTATACAATACACTACTATTAATCATTATATTAATTATTGATAATGGCATTTTTGTTAAGTTTAAAACTTTATGGAAAATAAAAGATGATAATTAATTAAATAACGTTTTTGATTATTTTGGGTAAAAAAGAATTAATTAGTTTTTAATTAATTAAAAGGCAAGTTAAGTGGTAGGACATAACCCACGTTTTCTTACAGCTATATAAGGCGTTGGTTTGCAGCCAAGATTCCAAGCAATATATTTTCAAGGATCCTTCATGAAAATGACATCGCCCCCTTTCTTCTTCTTTCAAGTCTATCTACAATCCCCATCTTATCTTACATATATATATATATATATATATATATAATTTCCTTTTTAAAAAGGTAATTGAAAATGCATGGGCTAATTATATTTTTATTTTTATTTTTGGAATTTTGTCTCATTATAATCTTAGGTTTTTGTAGTTTTTTATTTTTATTTTTTATCTTTATCTTTTGATAGTTTAATATATGTTGATTTAGTTTCTAATATTTTTCACAAAATTATTTTTAAAAGATATTTGAATGTATATATTTACTACTACAGCATGTAAACCAAACAACCAATTAAAGTTTAGGATGTATTTATTAAATCTTTCAACTATAAATAAATAATTTTATCATTAGTACCACGTATTACAACACAATTTATTTAATTAGTAACACTGACAGTTCAATCGTTAAAATTATTATTTTTTTATTTAAAGAAATAAAATTGATTTTTTTAAATTAAATTAATTAAGATGAGTAATACCTTTTTCATTTAAAAAAAAACATAAAATCTATTTAAACACGATTATATAAATGACTATTTACAATATATCTTAAAAGTTCAGAACTTAAATTTATTATGTTTCTGTACCGGTTAATTTTTATTTTTTTTTTTAACTAAGGTAGTCACAATGGTTATGAACTCTTTAAAACTCAACATTGCTCTATTTTACCACTTATAATATAAATTACTATCTATAACTTTTTTTTTTAAGACATATTTGATTAACCCTATTGCTGGTATGAATTTTTTGTTCCTATTTCCTGGTTAAAGTTACAGATGATAATTTTAATATCCATTTGAAGAAAAATATTTGGACCCGACATGGGGACGAAGAAAATCTATCGGATCGGCCCATATGAGATTTTTAAGGGACCACTGGTATTTTCTTTAACTTTAAGCTATGGAGTCGGCCCAGAAAAGGCCCACTACATCACACGAAGACATCTGGAACTATAATAATTGAAAATACGTAAATGGTGATGTAATATTCAGTACACAAAATAATTCATCTACCCTAGACATCGCCTTACCGGATAACTATCACCCATCACCATAATGATAGAAATTGGATCAGCAAATATTTTAATGACCCGCTCCACCTCTACTGGGACCCGAATATGCTTGAGCCATCATGGACTTGTAATTGAATGGAGCAGGAGATATTACTGTTTGATGCTTGAGAGGTCTTGAGGCTTCCACTTCTGTGGATGAGCAAGAAAGAACAATTATCATAATCACGAGGATTAAGACGATAATCCAATTGTAATTAATAGCATTATTAACAGCCAGAGTAATGCGATGAGAATATTGCTTCATCTTTTGGAGAGGGTGGGGATGGGTCGATTTTAATTTGATAGGTTTATTTGTTGCCGATTTTGACTGGAAAGGAATTAAAGGGTATTTGCAAAAAAGTTGGCATTTGGCCGTGGCATGGTTCTCTGAGGTATAAATAGAGGAATATTATATATATATATATATATATGTGTGTGTGTGTGTGTGTGTAGTACGTATGTAGACAGTCTAATTTTATGTAAAGGAAAGTTGTGTCCTTTGACTTTAAGGGTAGGCAAGAATTTCAAGGATTGTGGGTATTTGACATTTTATATATGTATATAGAACTGATGATTCTATATAAATGTGCGTGTGTGTAGGGACCATAAATTCGAATTTAATAATTATATTGAAGTGGTAGCTTTTATCGATAATCATAATAATTTCCGAGGGAATTTGGTAATCCAAATATAATTAATAAATAAATAAATACCGGTTGTTTTTTATATTTAATTAACTCGAGTGCCCAATAATTAATAACTTAAAATTCGGAATTAGGACTTAACATTCGTACTATATAACTCAAAATATCTATTAAATAGATTTATACTTATAATCAGCCAGTGGTATAATTAAGCTCGGGCTAAAAATTCAAGCAACATTATTAACTTCGAATTTCTTCTTAACGATGTTCCAGCTAAGATGGTTGGACAAACTTCACCCATATAGAATTGGTTTCCTAATTTAAAATCACATATATCTTTTGCAATATATACATATCTACAATATGGGTATGACGAATCTATATTAAAGATACTATTTTGCAAATTGAGGAAGCTATGTATACATATATATATGTGTGTATGTGTAATATATAGGATGAAAAGATTTTATGATAATAAAGTATGAAGTTTAGTACTGGATTTTATTAAAGCCCGTGACAAGTCAAGTTGGTATGTGAAACCACAAATGGGGAATTTAGATTGTCGTTTGAAAATATACATTCCGGCTTTGTCGGTTCTTGCCGCACCATCTTGAATTGCCAAGATTTTGATAGATGGGCTCACGAGTCTTTTTTACATCTTGTTGATAACTTATCAAATAATTTGATGTTTGGTGATTAATATGTGTCCAAAAATAA